CCAAAGGACACAACAACAGCGACCGACTGAGCGGGGCTCGAACCTGCAATCTTCCGATTATGGGGCGAGCACCTAACTCCTGTTCCACCATCGCCCAGTATAGAGCTCCGGGAGTTGACATCACTTCTCCCGGCATGCAACAGTTCAAATAGAACGGCGTCATCTCGGCAGGCAGTAGCCCGCAGCTAGGCTATTTGTTATTGTCAGAAAACTCAATCAAATGGGAAATATGGTAGATTCCTGTTATGCCCCAGGATGGCAGAACAGATGCGGACGAGATAAGGGAAGAGCCTTCAACAGGATTCCCCAAGATCCAGAACGCGACAAACGTTGGATCATTGTAATAAAACCCGCTAGTCTCCAGGCTAAAATGAAACTGTGGGATCCCGAGAGTAAAGGTTTTCGCTTATGCAACGACCACTTCATATCAGGTACTTAAACCAACGTTTCCTCAACTGTATATGGTATTTATTTTAAATGCTTTTATAATGATTCTTAGTGGGCTTCCTAAAGTTATTTTGGCGTGGCTTTTTCTGTCTTATTACTCACAGCAACAAGTAAACATCACGTAAAACGTTGCCTCGTGATTTCTGCATGCTGCCGTTTACGTGTTTTATGATCACAGCAATAAACCGGCTAAGCTGTATTTAATTTTTAAGCAATGGTAGATCAATTGTCAGATCACACATGAAAAGCACTTTGGATTGCTATTATCTGTCACTGAGACAGATCTCAGGCAGATCATGAGACGCTCCTGCCTGACATATTTATTTTATTCACGGGGAAAAAAATCTGACTAGTGATTTCTCTTGGCGTTCAGTTTATACATTCAAACAGCACAGCACTCTATTAAAACTTCTTACATGTAAATCTATGTTATTTGTGTTTTTCAGGCTTTCATATGCTCTTAGCGATGCTCCGGAGTAGGACGAAGGAAAATTAACAAGGAAATAATAAATGTCAGGGTATCTCAAATCCGGTAAGTGGTCCGCTCCGACAGCTTCTGGCGTTTTCAAAAGTATCCCGGGGCACGGTAAGGGTCAGAGATGTTTAGTCTATTTAATTTCTGACTATATAAAATGATTTCTTCAGTTTTAAAGTGTGAAGTAAACTCCGACGCAGTAAAATCCAAGCCGATCCCGTTCATTTTGTTTACCTTTGTTGCCTGCCAACATGGCATCTACTCTCTGAGAGTCACGTGACGTCCGGAGCTCTATACTGGGAGCCTTTATCCTGGTTTACATGTATGTTAGCAAACTCTCCAATGAAGTGCGTGTCACAACCCGATCCGTACCGTAAACCCGATCCGCACCACACATGCGCGAAAGGCTTCTACTTCCGCTCGAAGCATTTTACGATAGTTACGGGTCAGAGTATCTGTTAAGATGTTAAAAATAATAAGTATTTATTAAAATGTTTGCAATATTGAAACATTTCAATATAATGTAGACAAAAATGAAAAATAAAAATAAAATGTCGGACCGTACAGATTGGATCTACCCGATCCGCACCGCGCATGTGCAGATGTTCTATTCTTCTTGTGTTTTGGTTCATGGCAGTTTACTCCGCAGTGTACGAGGATACTGTCATTTGCTGACTGAGCAAATTGTAAACTGAATTTGCGTTATTGCAAATCGTGTTTTTATATGCGTGTTATATGTGATTTAGTGTGTTGATGCTTGTGTGTGTGGAGACAATTGATTGGAATTATCTTGATGTTCTGTTGAAAATGTCCACTGGAAATTGTCAGTAAACACTGGCTGATGAGTCTTCAGGTGACCTGTTACAGGTTTGTTTGTTTTTCCACACAATAGGTTAAATTTTAATTTAAAAGCTGAAAATGTGTCATTGTGATACAGCAGATATTCTTAATTTGCACTACATATCCTATGAATGTTTTCCAATATGAAATGTACCGGTAATATATTCTTAAACAAAAGCCAATTGGGCTCATCACCTAAAATTTGTTTACTTTCCGCTTTTGTGTTAATTTTCTTAGTTTGCCACTTTGTCTTGAAATAACTTTTAATTCTTTGTAATACCATAGTGTCCATTTTCACAATGTTGCAAATTTAATGTTTGAAAGTAGTTTCTCAAGGTATTCATAGGTTAACGATTTGTTAAATACAGATTTAACTACACTCATATTTATATCCATAAAAAATAATACAGGGCCACTTTATAATTTTTACATATTTACTGTAATAATGTGGAACACAAACAATAGATTACAAGGGCATGAACAACAGAAAAAGCATTGAGAGGATGTGTTACAACCCAGACTATTTGAATAAGGAGACACATATTGATGGAAATAAAAATATTTTATTTTCAGCATGTCCTATCTGGCAGTGTGGTACTCTGAGTACCAGGTACAAGCCCAACAGATTAACTTTCTCAAACAGAGCATTACAGTTTTTGCTATAGTACTCCAAGAATCAGAATAGGTTTATTGCCATTGTCAGTGAACAAACAATTCACAAACTAGGAACTTGCTTCGGTACTAATGTGCTACATATAACATGAATAATAAGATTAAAAACAGAATAAAATATAATAATAAAAAAAAACTAGAATAAAACTTTCAGCTATAAAAATGGCAGGTAAATGTAACATGGCCGATAACGTGACTTGCAACCATTGCAACCAACATATCAAAAACTCTCACAAAGAAAAACATGCATCAAAACACAAACCAAGATGTGGGCGAACCACATACGGGGAACCTGGTCACTACAACCAGGGTGGTGTGTGTGTGTGTGTGTGTGTTCTTGTACAAACTATATACTGAGGACCATATTGACCATTTTCCCTACAAAGTGAGGACATTATTTTGGTCCTCACTTTTTTTAGAAGCATACCAGTTAGAGGTATCGTGTGAATTACGTTTTAGTTAAGTTTAGGGTTAGGAAAAGATCAGCGTTGGTTATGGTTAGGGTTGGGGTATGGGTTAGGCATGGTGAAATCACAAAAATGAATGGAAGTCCATGGAGGGTCCTCACTATGATAGAAAGACAGACATGGGCATGTGTGTGTGTGTGTGTGTGTGTGTGTGTGTGTGTGTGTGTGTGTGTGTGTGTGTGTGTGTGTGTGTGTGGAGATGGGGGGCGGCGACAGAGCAGACACATTAATTGTTGATTTGGATGCAAAAGTGGCTGCAGTAGCCTGGGAACATCTCCTACAAGTAAGGTGCCCTTAGTTTGCCTCTTTTTCCTCTGCCATATCCTGTAATAAAAATAAATAAAAGAAAATCAAACAGAGAAGAATAGGCTCCAAGTGGTATGGTTTTCATTATGTCTGGCATCACTGAGATTTTTATTGCATGTAATGGCAACAATATAAGATTACACAGTGTTGCATACCTCCGGGGCAGTGTTTGTACTGATCTCCACATTGAAGGCAGATCTCAATAGAGTACATGTTAAAGTACTGATCTCTGTACTTTTCTGAGAACCTGCTCCATGTGCAAGCACCTGTGGAAAGCAGAAGTATAAAAACAAAACTACATTTACATGCTGTTAGTGAAAAACATGTGACAACAACAACTGTATATATAATTTCTTTATTTACTGAAGTCCTTACTGTGAAGCCACTTGAAGTGTGCTCATCTTCTGAAATATTCAGTAGACACAAGGTCTCTGAACATGGAGCACACCAGAGCCAGTTTGAAGATTGCTGTATCTCTTTCGTGAAGAACAACCTCTTCCAATATGTCGATCAGGACATGTTCTGGTAACTGTAAAATTTATGTCAGGTGACAATAATGAAAATAAAAAATATTGTCCATAAAGTTTCAGAAATATGAGGACTGAAAACACATTACATTGAATAGTGTTTTCATAACATTATGTGGTTTTATTCTACAAATAGTTATCTGATTGTTGTCCTCTCTCACCGGTCTGATTAGACTTGGTGGAGGCTTGGAGGAGGTTGCCTTTGGTACCCTGAAGACAGGCTGGAGAGTTTCCTGGAGGAGAAGGGATGCTTCTTCTGTCCAGAAGGCAAATCTTTGTCCATGCCTTTAGAAAACATCACCAGTCTGAATGGACTCTAGTTGTGTACTGCTGTTTTCTTCAGTATGTTCAGTCACAGGGTTTACAGTAAGCCACTTCCACAAACATTTGTTTGACCTGATGTCTTGCCTGAACCAAAGCTGCAAATATGGTGCCAGTTTGTCTAAAGTGCCTGTCATACCCCTCAATGCCGAATCTCTCCATCAGCTGAATACACCACCACAGGCAAATTGCTGGCATTTCCTCCTGAAGACAAACATAATATAATGTTTATGAAGACTGGAGACTGACACAGATACTTTGGTGGTACTGTCTGAAAAAGCTTACCTCTGTGAAAGATGGTGGAGATGAGGTGCAGATGCAGAGAGCATACTGCAAAGTAAAATAAATCTTTAGCATGTTAAAATGTTATATTCAAATAATGGCAAGAAAATTCTCACCATCAGCATAAAGATGCCGCAGCAATTTCCCATGAACTGCTGGGGAAAGAACTGTAAAAAGAAAAATGTTTCATTAAATGAGGAGAGCTGACATGCACCTGCTAGTTGTTAATTGCATTATTATGTACCTGATGAGCTTTCAAACTTTTGCACTGAAAACATACCTCAAGGTCTCTTCCTGTTTTCTCCATCCATAATCCAGAGTTAATAAAGGCTGCTACTCTCCTGGCATTGTAGAGAACACACATAGCACACAAATCAAATGTTTGTCATAAAAAATGTTTAAAAAACATGTTGTAGGGATGCAACAATACTTTTTTCAAACCGATACAATACAGATTATTGGATCTGAGTACTTGTTGAAACCAAGTACCAATGCTAATATTTCTACCACACAATGGAATGGAATGAATCGGAAGGCAGTTTTATTTTCTGCAGTGCTTGTTACAAATAACGGTGAATTAGATTTAAAAAAAACATATTATTAAAATGACCACAAAATTCAAAGTTCAAGTGAAAAATAAACATTTTCTATGAAAGTTTTGCAGTTTCCACATTTAAAGTATCAGTTCATGGTATCAGTTAACTAAACTATACAGATACGAGTTAATTAGAACAGTATTGGCCTGGATATCAGTATTGGTGCATCCCTTTCATGAAGTAGCCTTAGAACAAGGCTCCCTCCCAAACCTTTAAGCCTAATAACGAGGCTGCTTTTAGACAATCTTTCCAAAAAACGCAATAGGCCATTGAACAAGGCCAGAACAATTTTCATTTTAGTGTCAACCTAAATGTGGTTTAGTAGAGATCATTTCCAAAACCATCAGGGCGAAGTGAGTCCAGAAAGAGTATTGCTGTCTCTCGGCTACCAATATAGCCTGAAATAGACATGTTAGCATAATCCATGAAAACACGACATGTCAACCTCTGTTATTTTCTATCAGATGAAAAAACACAGAGCAAGAAAGATCAAGGGCACTCACACAGAGCAGATAATGGTCAGCTTCACCTGCCTGCCGACTCCAAGCAGGACAAAGCAGGATGTCCTTGGACCTAAAGTTTTCCTACATGTATTGTATAAATTAGTAAACATGCACATGCAGGAGTAAAACCAACAAAAAACATACCGGCAAGCAACGCAGCAGGTTGACTTGTGGATCCTTCCAGGTGGCCACGACATAGAGGTCAACAATGTGAACATCTTTTCCCTAAAGGAAACCCACACAAAAAAGCAAAATCAATACACAACAACCATTCATGGCTATAACCAAAGAAAAGGTGTACCAGTACGACAGATTACATGTCTTTGTGCAGCTTCCGCCACAATCTTCAGACAAGCCTTCCCAATCTGAAAGAAATAGCAAAAAGCAATAGAATGCAGTTTCATTTACTATTCTTAAAATCTTGCATTTCATTATCTTTTCTCTGCAGTGCACTAGACTAAGTAACAAGATATACTTACAGTAGATTCCATGGACTGTTCCAAACCCAGGCTCCAAAAGTCTTCCCGAGTTAGGCAGATTTTGTCTTCCTTCACTAGGAGTTCTCCTGGAGGTCGGTTTTGGTCCCAAGGCATATTCCACCTAAATGAAGAGCATGTCGTGTGATTTTGCTTCAATACAATATAGAAAATAATAAAGAAAGATTAAAACGGCAACTACAAAATAAGGCTGGCATTGTTTCTCATGCTTCAGCAATCCTAAAACTATCATCGACGTTGACTTATTGAGGTTTAACGTGACTGCATAGAAATGTGCCGTACCAGACTGGACTGAAGAGGGTCCAAGTCTTTCTGCCACCTTGCTCCTGGGCTGGCATACTGATGATCAATCTGCCATTCAGGAGTCCCACATAAGTGGTCCAGGAGAAACTTCCCATCAGTTGGTGGATCTGATAATATACAAATATGTGGCATGACCGAACAACTTAAATCCATTTTTAACATTAAATCAATATTGAACTGTGACTTCTTATTACTTCTCATATGCTTACTTTTTGATCTGTGGTAGTTCCTCAGCCTGGACACATTTACCTTCTGGCAAGTTGCTCCCTTCACGATAATGGCCACCCCCTTTAGAGTGATGCTGGCCACAGTGTACGGTCCTTGGTGATGGCTGGAGAATGCATGTGTTTTTGGATCTCCTGACAAAAGCACGTCATCGCCTGCTTGAACAACACACTGTCTTACTAGCTTCCTTTTCCGTGTTCCAAAGCTCTTCCTCTGGGTGTCCTGTGCCCTCTCAATATTGCGAAGAACCTACAAAAAAATTACATGAAAAGCAGAGAGAGAAATATAAATATTTATTATTCACCAGGTCGCCATGGCAATGCTCATTCTGGAAATGTAGAAACACAGAAAAGTTACCTAATAAAGCAGAAAAAATGTTGAATACACAATAAAAAATGAGCACTGTGTTAACCACATTTCCCCTTTTTTCCTCAACAAATCTCCTTTCCCTGTCAGTCAGCCCTCTTCAAATGTACGGACCATTTCATTCAGAACCGTCGTCTCCTCAACTCTTGCGTCAATGTCCTCTTCTGGGTCTGCAACCTCAAAGTCATCGTCCATGGGACAGGCGTTCATCACAGCAGGAAGAAGTGGATGTCGGTGGAAGAACAGGAATTAGGGACTGTGGCGGGTGAAGTGCTGATCACACAAAATCTCTCCATTAATTCATTTTCTCTTGCACTTGCCAATAACTTCTTTTTTTTAATCAACTTAAGTTTAAAACACATTCTTAAGACGACGCTGCGCTGTGAAGCAGCGTAAAAGTCATACAAAATGTCAAAATAGGAATACCTGCTTTGCAGTGATGCCATACACCACAGCAGCAAGGTGAACGTCCCAGTCGTCGTGGTTCTGGTTCACGTACTTTCTGAGCGCACGCTTAATGTTCTGGTTGGTCCTCTCATCCTTTGAGTTCTACTGCAGAATAGATAAAGAAGCATGACTGATTTCACATGAGTTACTCAAGGTTAGATATCCAAATGCTAACCTGCCCGTTGGTCTGGGGGTGGTACGCACTGGAAACAGCATGTTTAATATTCAGCATGCTGAAAATGCTGTCGTTGAGCTGCAGTGGCATGAGCAGACTTGGTCTAAATACATCATCTCAAATGTCAAGGTACGACTAACACTTTCACAAATTTTACCTGGTTCATAAACTCCTTTCCTTGGTCAGTGATGATCTTCCTCACCATGCCAAACATGTATAACTTAGACGTCATGACTGCAGAGACCTCAGCAGCAGTCTTGGACTTAAGAGGTTCTGCAATCTCCCACTTAGTATACAGATCGGTCATGGTCAGGACATATCGGTTCCTAGACGTGTTTCTGGGAGTGGTCAAATTAAATCCATGCCCAGCACCTCCCAAGGTTCTTTTACCTGCAGGTCACAGAACTTATCAAGTGAAAATTTAAAGCTAACCTGCAGCAAAGCTTCTTAACTTGAAAATTAAATGTAAATAGCTTCAAGATGTACCTTGATGGGATGTAATGTTGGTGCCACGGTCTTGATTGGGTCATTCATCTGGCAGCGATGACAACATCTGACCTGAAAGGCGTATTCCAAACAAAATGTCTAGGAAACCCTAAACCAGCTGATATAAATTGATTATAACATAAAAAGACAGAAACTAATGTTGAAATGTAAGTGTGCAAGTAAACACATTCAGTTATATAGCCTACAGATGTTTTAGAAAACATTATGACGACCTGATTTAGCTTCTTCACTCAAATAAGGCCATTATCCATTCACCGATGTCCTGGTTCAATGTTGGCCAGTAATAGCCAGCAACAACCCTGTTTCGGGTACCTCTGACACCATTGTGGTTCCCGGTACCAGGGTTATTGTGGCATTCCATCCAAACGAACTTCTTCTCCTCCTCTGACATGACTACCAGGCGCATGCTCTGCATACTGGGGCCAGTGAAGAAGAGTCTGTTATCTGGAACAAGATAAAACTGAAAAAAAGATGAGAGTTGCTTACTTAAGTAAAGTGAAATGTCTGACAGATATTAAAGTTTGAGATCTGCACCAATATGGTACATTTACTTTCAATTGCAATTATCTTAAAAATATATACAGGCCATGCATATATGATATTGTATTTACAATTTTTTTAAATCTAAAATAATTCCACACACCAAGATATAGATCTATATATAGAGTTTCGATATTACAGACGATGCTACACTGTATACACTGTAGACTGATATTACTCGTTACACCCTCCTGAATCAACGCAGGTGTCATGCAACTTTAGAACAATAACGGAGAGTCTGTACCCTCAAGCAGCTAGGGCAGCTGTAGACCATGAGAAAAGATCATCTTTAATTTTCGCACTTACCTTTAAGTCTGTAATTAGGCGCCATTCTTCTTAATTTACGGTGCTTTTGTTCAATCGCTGGAAGCTCTCCACTGAGGAGAAAAGCATGAATTTCTTTGTATACGGAGGTATTCATTGTTTAAACGTCCCGCAGTCGGTAACTGTCGCAAAGTTGGCAAAGAGAAGAAGTGACGTAACATTCACGCATGCGTGGTACGGATCGGGTTTCTGGTACGGATCGGGTAGTGACAGTGCGTTCCACTGCTCTACGGTAGGTGGCGACGTGCCTTTTTGTGTCATCACTCTTCCTCTTAGGCTATAGCAGAGTTAGACAACTCCCTCTCCAGAGAGCTAGTACCCGGCATGTTTTAGTTGTTTCTTTGCTCCAACACAGTTGATTCACCTGTTCAGCAGTACATTGAGCTTTGCAGGAGCAAGTTAATCACCTGCTGAAACAAAATCAGGTGGTTTGAAGCTGGAAAACAAATAAACATGCTGGATACCTGTCCTCCAGGAAGGGTGGCCTCGTTGCTTCTAGAAGGTGATCCTTCAACCTGTCACAGTTTGACAGAGCTTTCTACATGCAGAGGAAGTTGTAGATAACTGCATGATCTACTTTATCTCCATTAGAACCAGTTCCCCTTCGGCCAAACTATTGCATTTACATACATTTGAATAAGTATTCTTTTCTATTTAAACAATAGCTTTGTTTACTGATGCTTCATCAAAATGCACTGACTGACATTTGACCACCATACCAAATTAGCATTCAGGCACCCATCTTGGCTCACAACGAGGAAAGCTGTCCAGGAAAGAGCAGAGCACGTCTCGAGTTGTAGAAGCAGTTTCTTCCTGTTAAAAGAGTTAAAAGGGAATTTTCCTCTCCACTGTTGCTACATGCTTGCTTAGTATGGGGTCTGCTGTAAAATCTTTAGCCCTTTTTACAAGACATCAGTGTAATGTTACTGCAAAGGTGGGTCTTATAAAAAGCCCAAAAAACTTCATGAGCGCGGCTTCGATTGCAATAAAAAGCAAGTTATATCCAAGCTAAACGTAAGTCTGCAGCAGCGCAGAGACTGCCCCCATACCCCCTTTATATCGCCCTTGCAAAATCTTTTGTGAAAAGGACACGCTTACATCATGTTACCTTCACTGTCTGACCACCTATCAACAACCTAAGGCTCCCTGATGCCGCCACGGCATTGCGGCTAATTGACGGCATTGTTTTGTAAAAAGGGCATCAGACACAAGTCTGTGACTTGATGCAATCTGCTGGGTTTCATTACATGGAACGTTTTTAAATAATTGGAATAATTACCTGAACTCAAATGGAATGTTTACATAGTGAAGTTCCTTCAGACAAGTGTTGTTGTGATTTGGCGCTATATAAATGAACTGAATTGAATTAAACCGTTAGCATTAGCAACTCCGCCACACAGCAGAACTCCTCCAGACTTGGGATCAATTCAAGTTTATTTATATAGCGCCAAATTGCGGCAAGAGTCGTCTTAAGGCACTTCACATAGTAAACATTCCAACACAGGTCAGTTCATTAAGCCAATCAGTAAAAAGTTTCCTATATAAGGAATCCAGCAGATTACATCGAGTCACTGACTAGTGTCAGTGTCTTTACAGCAATCCTAATACCAAGCAAGTATTTAGCGACAGTGGAGAGGAAAACTCCCTTTTAACGGGAAGAATTCGTGGAGATAAAACACCAACGTTGCACAGCAGTCAGTGGTAGTCGTGTTGCTGTTAGCCAATCAGACACAAGATGTCTTATATCAGGAAGAAAGACTCTAAATCCTGCGGTTTTGTGCTCACCTCTGCAGTGGCTGGCTCACTTCGAGTTCATGAAATTGGATCACCTTTTTTTCCAGCTTTTTTCCTTTATCTATTGGTTTGTACTAAAAAGCTTTGCAAATATAATGTGAAACGAGTGTACTTGGTATTTAAAAGATACGTTTTGATCAACCTTTTCTTCTGGAATTTTAAGAGTGAAACAGTTTTATTTCAAGCTGTTTCTCTTTACAATTAGCTTTCTAGTTAATTAGTAACACTAAGGATTCAAAGCCATCTCTGGTTTTGCACAAGTCAGCTGTACGTTTAGGAAGGCCTTGAGAGAGAGGAAAAAAGGACATTGACATGCAAATGATTGTCTTGAACTTTATTGAACGGGTACATTTAAGTTAATTTGCCTTTGGGAGTGGCTAATGGAAGTAGGCTTCTCCAGTAACTCTCAAGGAGTCAATCCACCTGATTTAGAGGAAGCAAGTGCATAGATCTCTTGATTGACATAGCTGTTACTCTCTGTGTGACATAACTGATGGACAGAGAGGAAGAAGAGAGAGGGGTGGGTTTTGACGCGGTCCACTTTCCGCAGTGTGTCCGGACACTCTCTCATAAGCGGTATATTCCAGATGTTAACATTACTCTGGTGGGAGAAGCCGTCAAGTGTTTTTTTCAAAGCCTTCAGGGGTGAATCATAAATGTTGCAAGGAGGGATGTTATGAAAAATGCAAAGCATACACTCCTTTAGCTAAAACAGAGCACTCAAGCACCTCAGGGAATGAATGCAAGACTGTGCCACAGTTAGTTTTCTCAGATTTTACTGTTTGAATAAGTAAGAGTTGTTCAAATGAATCAAACATTTCAAAATAAAAGTCTTCTTTAGGCCCTTAACATTCTTTGTTTGCTCACCAGTAAGCATCACAGTTGGGCATATCTGTAAAGTGCATTTACAGTTGTGTGTGTGTGTGTGTGTGTGTGTGTGTGTGTGTGTGTGTGTGTGTGTGTGTGTGTGTGTGTGTGTGTGTGTGTGTGTGTGTGTGTGTGTGTGTGTGTGTGTGTGTGTGTGTGTGTGTGTGTGTGTGTGTGTGTGTGTGTGTGTGTGTGTGAGTGCTTGTTTGCCCTTTTATAGATGTGTGTGAAGGACCCAGCAGAGGAGCTAAAAGAAAAGCGTCAGGCCATAATTGGGTTACAGGGACCAGTGATGGATTAAAGCACGGCTAGGGAGACGCTGCAGCAACATTAGGGTGTCTGAGATGTCAGGGGCAGAGCGCTCTCATTAATCGCCTCGGCCCTTACATTACTGCATTAGTTGTATTAGCAGCTAGGAGTCTGCGAGCACTTTGAGATTTCTCGCTGAGGCAGGCCACGCGCCTTTCTTTCCGTTCTGGTTACTAGGCTGAAGTGATCCCTCCCTGTTTCTTTGGAGAGATGTCAGGAAGGGAGTCCAATTCATTTACTCAAAGTGCCTTTTATGTTTACAAGCATTTTTGGATTGGTTAAACATTTGTCATGATTTGGTGTGAGAAACTTCAAAAGTGAGGAGTGGAAAGTTTATATTGGAAGTTGTTTGGTAATTTAGACTAAGTGAACGCACACACACACACACACACACACACACACTCATGCCTTCACTCAGTCATCCCACTTCTCAATATCCTAATAGTCCTCCTGTGTGAAAATTGATTTTTAGGAGTCTGCAGGCTGACCTGAGCCCTTGCCAGCACCAACACAATGTCAGTCCACGGTTTCCTCTTCCAATTCCATCCATCTTCTTTGCAGTACATATATTTACACTATAGCTGTTATTAATAAACCAAAATTGATTTTGCAGTGGAGTAAAACCATATCATGCACAGTCAGGGTGGTGTCAGTGCCCTGCTGGTTTGTGGCCGGAAAAGTGGGTGGAGGTTTTGTTTTTACTTGATAGAGGAGAATGGGTGGGGCAGAGGTCCTGATGGAGGAATAGATGAGGTTGTACAGACTAATGTTGGTGATCCTGAATGTTCAACCCCTGTCTACTCCCTCTCTGTGAAGTGAGGGCGTCACCCCCCCATCCTCCAGAAGCTAACCTAATCACAGATCAAGTGTTCCTGATTGCCTTCAAGCTCCTGGTGGCCTTTAAGTACAGCCTCCATGGAACATAAAAGCAGATGTTCTGATCATGTTAATAATATTTGACACTTGAAATTACAAAGATATGTAGTCTGAGGGTTCAATCCAAACGATGACCCAAATTCTGGTTTGTTCTGTTTTTTTAGCATCAAACAGTTCTCAATGAAGTTGTTTCATTTTGCTGCCACAATTGTTGGACACATTTTTAATAATAAAGATCCTGCATTTGCATAGTGCTTTTGTGAGTCAGAGGACTCCAAAGTGCTTTACATTGCAGTTATTCCTTCACACAGTGGTGGTGATGAGCTACACTGTAACCACAGCTGCCCTGGGGCACACTGACGTTCACAGGTACCACCGGCCGTTCTGACCACCATCGCAGGGCAAGGAGGGTGAAGTGTCTTGCCCAAGAACACAGCAGCTGTCACAGCCAGAATCTGGGTTCAAACTGGCAACCCACTAGTCACAGATCAAACCCTTGAGCCACTATCGCCCTGTGTCTATCTAGTACTCTGCAACCCAACACAAACATGACAAAAATGATTTAGACAATAAATTTTGGGCCCAATCTTGAACTTTATGGATTACTGTTAAATAAAACTTATTTTGTCCGAATAAAACCAGTCTGGTTACTTCTGCAATGTCACGGGTTTATCTCTCTCCAGTGTTGCATTAATGTTTCATCAAGTTCTTGCATTGATGATGGTAGAGTCTGACCGCTGCACAAAGCCATCTCCAGCACATCCCAAAGACTATCAGTGGGGTTGAGGTCTGGACTCTGTGGTGGCCAATCCATGTGTGAAAATGATGTCTCATGCTCCCTGAACCACTCTTGAGCCTGATGTATCCTGGCATTGTCATCTTGGAATATACCCGTGCCATCAAGA